TTTTGTGTTCACGATGTATTTTACCATACATGAAATATATTAATACATAAGTACAACTATAAAATCAATATTATAAGTTATTTAACAATAAAAGTAAATTTATTAGTGTATACTTTGTCATAATAATACAGACATAAAATTCAATTAAAAATAAAAATTAAAAAGATATTGTACCGATGAGCAATACCGCATAATATATAACACTATATTGGTTACATCTTCATGCGAAAAATGTACCGTATTATTGTAACAATATTGTCGTACAAATCCGAAGTTAAATTGCACTGTGCAGCTGATTGTAGTTGGATTTTATTTTATTTTTTATTTTTATTTTTTTTTGGTGTTAAGCAATAAATTTTCAGCTAGAAATAATTTTACAGTTTTTATAAAATTGGTAAAAATTCATCATTTAAGACAGCTCAACTGCAGAGACAAAGAAAAAGGCATATTGAAAAGAACGGAGAAAAATGAGTGTCCATATACAAAGCGCCAGATTCCTTTTGTGAGTGGGCCAATAATAAGACAAAAAAAAATTCCTTTAGGCCACATTTTGCTTGTGCTTTGCGAAATTTTTATCTTTTATATTCTTATTTCTCTATTTTAGGTACCAGAAGAATATCTAACAAATTTTACACTACAATTTTCTGAATAAAATTTGAAGTTCGTCGTGGCATTAATTAAATGGAAAACCACAAGTCAATTGTATGTCGATCACATTAAACAAATGGCACGAAATATCTGATATACTATTTGCGACTGAATTTAGGAGAAACAAAATCATAAATAGTCATCGGGAGACTCAGGGTCTGATTGCATATTAATTTGATTAGTTTTTAATTGTTTTTTTAATCATAGTTAATTTAAAAAAAAAAGTAGTATAGTTAGTTGGTAGTGGAATTTAAATTTAAAATAAAGTAATTAAAGTTGATTTGATTTGAAGTATGAGAAAAATGACTGGAAGTGATAATTAGTGAATGAATAGTGAATTAGGGTTGAAGTAACAATGATTGGATGCTATTAATTAATTATATTGATGATATTGAAATAATAGCGTTGTGTTAAAAGTTGACTTAAATTTGAGTTTTGAATAATTTTTTACTAGTCTAATTTATATCCACTCACAACCTACCTAAGCAGAACTTGGCAGAGCAAAACCCAAAATAAATTAAAAATAAAATAAAAATGAATTACAACATAACAAAAAATATCCAGATTATCACATATAATACAATCAACAACGAGAACCATGGAAATACCAGATAATAATAATAATAATAACAATAATAATAATAATAATAATAATAATAATAATACGTACCTACCAATTTTTTGCTAAACATGCCAATACGGAGTGACTTAGCAACGGGAAAGCCATTGACTACATCGAAACCTTTGATTGTTGGTATTTCTGGAATTTCGTCCACGAACTTCTCGAGCTTGGATGGGCTTATCAGCCTATCCTGGGCCCATGCAAGGCCCAGAAACTCCAGCACCAAAACAGACAAGAGGAGGATTCTCTCCATTCCCACTGGATTATATGTAAAACCTTCTGGCAAATCTCAATTTTAATTTTTCTATTTTGTATAATACTTTTGTGTGGGTGTGTGTTTAAAAGTATGGATGAGAAAGAAAGAAGAAAAGGAGATTCGTGACGCTTTATATGGATGAAAGTAGAGAGAAGAAATGGCAGAGTAATGTGCCTGCCATTTAGTATAAATAATGACTGATTTTGTTAAATGAGATATTTCCTTTCAAATTTTGAAGAGTATAACAATGATGAGTGTATTCCATGACATGGAAAAGAGGCTGACAAGTA